TTAAAAATAAAGGCATAAAGTAAAAAAGGCAATAACGTTAAAGACAATTTGAATCGATTTAACAGTAAAACAATAAAAATTATAATTCGCATTACATTTCTAGCAATAAAGAAAATTCATTATATATTAACATTAGTAAATCCATTATTTTTTTAAATTTTATCAATTGTATTAATAAAATTCGTAAAAATACTTTTTAGCAACTGTGACACCGATTTGGCACTCTTCTTAATGTCGAATATCATAATTCTATTGTCAACAATCCAGAAATTATGAGTACAAATCTGGGACATATTTACGTGCACTGTTTCTCTAGAATTCGTCAGTTTTGCACACTTTGTCCGTTTTGTCACCTTTTATCAGTTTTGTTATTTCGATATTTGAGATTTTAATTGATTAAAAATGAAATTAAATTTCGCCTAACAACTATAATCTAAATATAATATATAATATATGTATCATACCAGATAGATATCGTAAAGTATACAGTCAGACTCCTCTAGATGCACGCCCTATGAAAAGCTTCTAAATGCATGTTTTTATTTGGGCCCAACTAATATAAATCTTATAAATTTTTACCTCCCTAAATGCAATACCTCTCTAAATGCACATTTGACCAAATTTTTATATATTGTCTTGTCACGATGCATTTAGAAAGGAGAGGTCCGATTGTAATCGGTACCCTGAGTATTGAAATGAGTTATATATTCTTATAAGCAGAAGTTTGATTGTCAAATTTTACAAATCTATACTGATAATTGGCCAATCAAATTACATGATTTTTTTTCCAAGGCAGCGAAAAAAAATCAAAAGTTCACATAAAATCCAGAAAATAGATAGGTAAATATAGCGTGAAGCAATGGTATTCATAACTAAACACAAATTGTATATTTTACTGTAATGCCTATAGAATAAACTTATATAATCAATGGAACAAATACACTATAAGACATCAGTAAATTCAAGCATTAAACTTGGTCTTATATATTGAACCTAGCTGCTGCACCAATTTTGTCACGTCGATTCTTGATTTGATTGGCTAAGAACGACGATCAAAAATTTAGGCCAAAATGACAGTCGCCCATTAAGTAAAAATGTTACTAATGTTTTCTTAAAATTTATATGTTTGGAATGAAAAGGCTTAAAAGTTAATTTCGACCAAAAAATTCTGTAAACAATTATGTAATGCGGGCCAAAATTGATCACGACCGTTAGCCAATCAAAATTACCGTGATTAGGTCAGTCATTTTGATCCAAATCGGATGATTTTGGTACCATTCGATTCGTCTCAATGTGACGATCGAATGGTACCAAAATCATCCAAATTTGAATCACTGGACATAAACCGGTTAACCGAAAATGACCGACCGTACCCGTGGTTTCCAAGTCAAATCGAAATAGAAAATCACTTTACGAATTTTCCATCCGATTTGGCTCGATGATTACCATTACTTTGTCACGATACAAACTAATCATCTGTTGATTCTCAACTTCTAACTAAAAAAATACGCAACCGTTCCTCTTCCAGGTCTTTTATTTTGAAGTAATTCTTTCTAACTGTCCAGTAAAGGTTCCATTATTTATATTTCCATTTTATAGTCTCATTGATGCTTACAAATGTACGTAGGTTGATGTTGATGAAGATAAATCGAGGGTATACGATTTTCTTTAATCCGATTATCCACTCATTCTTTCACTTGTTTATAGTCAATTCGAGTATTCTAACAAAGCTGTTTAGAATTAGTAACGACTTTTTAACTAACATGTTCTCAACTTCACCAATATATCATCCCATTGGATAGACCTAAAGACTTTAACATCGGCAAACCTAAAGATCACCCGTGCCTCAATGGGACCAGCATTGGGTCGACCTAAAGACTTGAACACAGGCAAACCTAAAGATTACCTGTGCCCCAACGCTGGTTTTATGGCTCAACCTAAAGACTTGAATAACAAGAATCTTAAAGATTCCTGTCACGCCATTTATTACATCTACATTTTAATAAAATGATTGGTTTACTCGCCTTCGTATACTTATCAAGAAGATTAAAATTTAAAAAATTCTAAAGCAAATAAAGATCATATATTATTGCAATTAAGTTTTAAGGGATAGTCCGCAGTTAAAGGGCCAAAATTTCATAGTAAAAATCGGCGCAATTTTACTGTTTGCCTTATATAGGGCAACGTCTAAAGCGGTGCAGATTCTTACGGGTTTTCACACAGTGCGGGACGCATATCTGGAATGTGTGTCAGGTTTGTGGCGCAGCAAAATTTCTTTAAAGTTCGTTAATGTTAGGGTTAGCGTTTA